AGTGAAGATGTCTCATGTGTGTCACCAAAAGGGGAATTCGAGCTCTTTGCAGGCACGTGGTGATGGCAAGAGCTGACTTAATTTCTCTGGGCTTCTCTCCTACCCATTCAAGACTCTCCAGAGGCACTTACTGCCTTTCCATGCATTTGTCAGGATGAGAAACATTTTCAGTTACTGTCGTTTCCCTGTGTGACATCTAATATCTTTGGGGCAAAGCTCCTAGAGCTAAGTTTTCCCCATCAATCTCATTCTTCAAAGTAATTCCCTTTTGTAATACTTCTACCTTCTGCTTTCAACACACACACACACACACACACACACATGCACACTCATCTGCTTTATCCTGTTTTATAAAAATACAACCAGTGGTTCCACCCTGAGTGACCATTTCAGATACAAACACAGTTTTTTTTTTTTAAAGGGATTTTTTGAAACTTAAGGGAAAAAAAAAGAAGAGCTCTTTTGTCAGAAGCAGGAAGGTGGAGTGTTCTTTGCAGCTCTAGGTAGCAGCTGGCTTTGGCCAGTTCTTCCGTGTAAACAGCAATTTTCCAGACTGGAATGGGTGCCGGGGTTTTCTCTGTGGAGCCAAGAGGTGTGGAGAGCAGTGGTGTTTCATTAAATTACAGGTCTAAATACAAAATGTGCAGCAATAATTTGTGTGAGCCTGAGCAGCCTGAACACTCCCCACCCCCTGATGCACGCTACACCACACACGCACACGCACGCACACACACACACACACACACACACACCCCACTCCCCAGAGTGCCGCCCTAGACCATAAAAGGAAGGGCATCTGCTGGGGGAGACGGCTGTCCCCAAGTGGTATTGGGCTCTTGGTGGGTATCTAGTGTCTCAAACAGTGGAAAGCACTCGCATACAAAGTGTTTTCTACAACCCCTCCACCAAAAACTCCATGCAAAGGACATTTAAGCTCACTTTCCTAAAGGATTTTGGAGTGAGCCCTCCCTGGAACAGATGGATAGCTCTTTCCATTTGGGTGCACTGTGGGGACCGCCTGGGGCCACCTGAGCATTTTGGTGTGCAGTGGCCAGTTTCCCTTGCTTTGTGTGGTTAAGTACTGTATTGGTGTGAGGGCTGTGGTTTAGGAAACAGTTACCCAAAGGGCCTAGCGCAGGAAGAAAACACAGGTGGCTCTCTTCACCATGGGTGGAGAGGACTTTTTATAACGCAAAGGACTATGGAGTCAGAGGGGGACCAGTGGTAACGTGTCCTGTGCCCTGTTTCTGAGGTCAGAAGAGGGTTAAAGCTCTGGGGATGCTGGGTGGTTCCTGGGGCAAGTAGCAGCCAAGACGGAAGGATCGGGACTAGAGAGTTACCCCAGACACGCACGCACGCACGCACGTGTGCAGACATGGACACAGAAACTTCGATAGTATTGACAGGAATTTGAGGACCTCCAGTGAGTCCCACTGGGAGCCTGGACACGACATCTAGCCCCGCCCCTGTCCTGTCCTCACCAGCAGCCCTGGAGGTGGGAAGGGAAACAGGGTAGAATGTGTGATTCTAGAGTCCTCTCTGCCTGCCTCCCGTGTCCGTCTTCAGAATGCAAATCATCAAGCACTGCACAGTCCGTTTAGCAGTGATGCTGTCAGGATTCCCAAAGTAAATCACCCCCATTTCCCCTAGGGTGCCCCTAGTGGGAGGGGTCCCCGTGCAGAGCCCTGTCACCCCCAGCCGTGCTCTCCTCTCCTGAAGCCAAGACACTGGTGAGCAGCTAACCGAGTGTTGCACATCTTCCCACTGGCCTTTTCATGTCTGGAAGGTTTTGATTAAACCAGTTTCCTTTAGTGTTTGCCATAGAGTGGGATCCATCACTGAATTGAGCTGGTTCCTGGAGAGGATGTTTTAGTAACTTGGACACTTTGGCGCAGTGTCTGGGGCCTGGGATTTCTCATCCTTCTAAAAAAAGTATTTTACAGGCTTTTTTTGGGACTATGTAGATTTATAGCTGGGTGTCTGCCCCAGTGTTTAAGGCTCTGGTGTGATAGGTTTATGGCTGTTGAACAACTATAGAGAGTATAAGAGGGGGCCTTTTCATTTAATCAGTTATTGGGGAATGAATATTCTGTTGACTTCTGTTTTGGGAACGAAGACACGTTACTCATTTAATTATCTGGGTCCATGTGAACATTTGAAATATAAATAGGGTCTGCTCTATACCCACCTGACTCTAAACAATGTAGAAATGGCACCATAGGGTTCATTTTATAGAATGCTTCTTCAGAGTTTCTTTAAGTTGAGAACTCCACTAATGCATGTTTGTGGATCACAGTAGTGTTTCTTTATAGATATTTAATTACTTGGCTGGGTAAAAAAAAAAAAAAAAAAAAATGAAAAATATGAAATGAAACTATTGGGAGTCTTTGACCATCTGAAATCATGTAGAGATGCAGGAAAGTGGTATTGAAATTACAGTGGAAGGGAGTGGGGCACCAAGAGTTGATTTATCAAAGATTTTTGTATAAAGTATCTTTCTGCCACACAAGCTCATTCTGAGCTTGAAGGATAAATGTAGTAATTGACTTTGGATTCGGTTACAGTGACCACTTACCTAGCATCTGCCTGGTGTCCTGCTAAGACACCTTGGCATATGTTATTTAATTTAGTCCTGATAGGAACCTCGCGTGGTAGCCTAATTATTATATCTCCATTTTATAATGGATTAAATTCTACATTGTGTTGGAACATAGGCTCCAACACCTAGCACTTAATGTATCTGTTGAATGAACACATTAGGAAAGTTAGGGCAGTAAAATTTGGCGGTCAGTGAGTGTCGGGAGAGATTGAAATCTGGAGAGGGACTGATGGAGCTTCATGGGAAGGTGACCTTGTCTGCCAGAGGGACTTACGGAATGGCTGAGAAGGGGGATGGACAGTAAGGGGCAGAATAAGATGCCCACTGGTTAACGAGAGGCTCTTGGAGTTGGCACTGTGGATGCTGGTGGGATCTTCGTAGCACGTTCTCAGGTACATCATCTCCTCTCCTCTCCTGTTCATCTGGAAAGAGACGAAAAGTGGTAAATCACAGCTTTAAACACACGTGTAACCACTGCATGGCCCTCAGAGCCCACAGGAAGTGTGTGGAGTTGCTAGGACAATGGCCTCTTAAAATAGCGCAGCAAGCCCGCTGCAGGGACATTCCAGATGGGGATCCGTCAGCAGGCTGTGGTGGCACATGTCTCCCCCGGAATATGCTAAAGCCAAAGCCTGAGCTCCTTGAAGTCTGGGAGCCTCCTCTGTTCATGGCCATCGTGCGTCCTGATTGATGGGAGTTCAGGGTTAGCTGGGACTGGTGCGCTGGTCCGGGACTGCACGGTGCAGAGCACCGGACCGGACCTCAGGGGAGCACTCCTCAGCACAGCCTACCCGTCCGCACCCAGGTAGTGCTCAGCCAGGGCGCTCCTCTTGGAGGTGGGCTGGTTGTACGTTCCCTCAGCCAGTGTGTCCCAGCCTTGGGGGCAGTGGGGATCCTGGCAGCCACAGCCCCTGTATTTAGGCATCCCGCATCGAATTGTAATGGACACATACGACATTGTGAGGTTTTTTTTTTTTTTTTTAACATTTTCGGCTTCGTCTTATTCACTTATTTTTTGGGGTTTCAATCATGCTTTTATTTATATGTTCTCATAAAACATTTTCCCCTCAGCTTTACTGAGGTGTACCTGACAAAATCGTAAGGTATTTAAAGTGTACAAACATTATGATTTGATGATATATGTGTACATTGTGACAGAATTTCTCCTGTCAGGTTAAGACGTTGGGCTTTTATTATATGCAGCCAAATGGGTGAGACCCTGTATCTACTGAGGTTTGAAATTTTTTATTTAACATTTAGATAAAATCTTTTTTAGTTGCACATTAAAAAAAATAAAACACACACACAGCCTAGACTCAGTGTTCAGAATAAGATTTATTTTCTTGTTCAATTTTGGCTCCTACCTATGATGTTTGGTTCTGTCTCTGAACCATTTGTATCATTTGCTTTGGAACTGGTGTCCTTCTGAAATGTGACCACAGTCATTCGTTTTCACATCAGCCACATATTTGGTGCGGGCTTCTGTGGGCCTGGCGCTGTGCTTGGCTTTGCGGAGGGTACCGAGAGGAATCAGGAACTCAGTGTCTGGGGAAGGAAGTAAGAAAGGATTATCAGTGGCTTTTGTACGAGGTGGGAAGAAGTGGATGCCAGGACAGGCTGGCGGGTACGGTGTTAGTGTTTCAGAAGAGGGAGGGACAGCTTCTGGATGTGGGGACGATGTAGATAGCTTGCATTTTGGAGAAGGTCGTTGGATCTTGCAGGATGGTAGCCATGGGAGATTTAGGCACAGAGGGGCGTTCTAGGGAGAAGGACTTGTATGGACAGAGGGGTGGATACCTGGGGCTTAGCTGGGCTTGACTAAGTGTAGGGTGAGTCAGGGCGAATAATGAGGAATCTGGAGGGGAAAAAGAATGAAGACTTGAGCTCCAAGGGTGGCCCCTGCCTGTGGGGGTCAGGGTCTGTCTTGTTGGCAGACGTGAACCAGCACCCAGAGCAGCTCGGTGTCGACAGCCCACCCATATGTTTGAATGACGTGTGGCTTTTTAATTGACAAATTTTATGGTACTTTCTGGGCAAGCAGATTTTTATGCACATAATTCTGTTTTGCTCACATCTCTTAGGTTTAAAATAGCTTTGATGTGCCACTTTTCTCTTTGTGCTAGAAATCGGAATGGAGCTGTGTCTTATGGCTTAGAGGTTCTGAAGTCTACTCTGTGTCTGTATGAAACTCAAGCTTTAGGTTGTGGCCTGAAGGCCCGAGATATCCAGCGTGGCTGTCTCCAGCATTCTAAGATGTCTCAGGGGCCTGCGCCGTACAGCTCGAATTTATCTAAAATTGCCTTCCTAGAGGCACATGGAGAGTGGCTTGTTTTAGCATCTTAGCGAGCATTGCTTCAGATAACCTGGTTAACCCACGTCCTCCTCTTGTCATTTCTTGCAGATGGTCACAAGAACAAAGAAAATATTTGTAGGCGGATTATCTGCGAACACGGTGGTGGAAGATGTGAAGCAGTACTTTGAGCAGTTTGGCAAGGTAAGTGGCGCATGGGGCTGGTTGCCGCTGCGCCTCCTCCCTTTGCCACGGCTGCGTCCTCAAGAACCTTGTCCTTGCACTTGGTCGTCCAGATTTAAGTGAAATCTGTCAGGAGCTGACATGGAAGAGTCCGGCTTGTGGTCGGCGTGGTGCCCCATGTGCCCACAGGAACAGACAGAGCGGCCTTGCAGTGTGGTGGTGCTGGCCACCTGGGGCCTGGGCTGGGAGCCGGTGGTGGTGGCAGCAGCGACTGGGGAGGGATGCGGGGCTGTGACTCACAGGACAGGAGCTCCTGCAGAAGCTGCTAGAAGCCTGTGAGTCGGTGCTGGGCTTCATTCTGTGCCTTTCTGGAAGATGCATGACGAGTGGAGGCTCCCTGGGGTCCTGTGCGGTTGAACCTTCCCCTGTCAGATGCCCAAGGATACTCGGGAAAGATGCCGGCTGTACCTGTCAGAATGTGTGTGAGACCGAAGTAAAATGATCCCCTGGGCTCTGTTGCTGGACCAGGCTGGGGGCAACGCAGAACGCCCCCCAGTCAGCCAGGACCCAGAGTGTGAGAGTGTGTAGGTTAAGACAGAGTCAGCAGACAGACAGATAGGATATGCACCCACGGGCGATGTGCTTGATTCAGCCTCTCTCTAGCTGTGGGGGGAGCTGGTGCCTTGGAAAGTAGCGTTCTCCTGATGGCCACCTGGTCCCCGGGCTCCGACAAGGCAGCTTGTGGGGGAGGCTAGCCTTGCTGGCTTTGTGTGATCCCCTCCTCTGGCTGCCGCGTCCCGGGAGGCTGGCAGCTGAGAGGCTACGCTGGCCCCCTGCTTCCCGCATCTTTCAGTCGCCATGGATGTTGTCCTGGGAGTCCAGGTGTGCGACGGTCTCCCTCGCAAAGGTCCGCGTCCCTGCTGCCGGAGGGCTGGTACAGCAGAGAGGGAGAAGACACTGCGCCTCTTCTAAGCTTTGTCACTCATGTCCCCCCCGGTGACGGCTGTTGTGCTTGCCCTGGGTGGTACCAGGCACTGCTGCCCACTGACCGGTCTGAAGGTTCTGTGCTTTTATTTGTTTGCTCAAGGTGATGGGCGGCTCAGACCTCGTCCCCGGGTGTGTCGAGTTGTGAGCTACTGTCTGGGATGAGGGCCGGGATCACTGTTTAGCTTCAAAATGGAGATTTTTCCCATCTCTGGTCATCATCAATTTCTGCATGGATGGGAGACATGCAACAAAGAGAAACCAGGCTCCTCCAGCCCGGCTTGGCATTCAGAATGGCACTTAACTGCCCTTCCAGGTCGCTTAGGAAAGACGCCTTCCCCATGGCACCGTCTTGCTTTGCCAGCTGGGGGCTGATTCCTTCTGGCCGGTTTTGAAGAATAGCTGAGTGCGTTGGTGACCATGTACTTCTCTTCGAGACTCATTTAAAGCACCAGGGGGGATTGGTCCACTGCCCAGCCCCACCCTGCCTGTGGGGAGAGACTGGAAATAATTAAATGAGACAGGTCCAGCTTGTGTAATGGAAGGCTCGGGAATGTGCGCCCCTTTGCTACAGTTCTGCCTCTAAAACAAGGCCACGAGCAGTGTTTGCAAAATTGAGGTGGAATTCTTTTTTTAGCTATAAACTGGAATCTCATGGTCCTATTTGTGGGTGTCAGAGAAGTTGGGCTATTAGAGTATTCCAGAGTGGCTGGTACCTGCCGCACCTCTGCACGCTCCCACCTCCAGGCTTCTCTCTCTCTCTCTCTCTCTCTCTCTCTCTCTCTCCTTCTCCCTTTCTCTCTTTTTTCATTAACACTTACAGTTGGGACCCAGTATCCAGCAGTGGGAAGCTCTGCAAGCTTTGGCTGGGCCCACGGCTGCAACCATCCCTGCCCTGAGAACAGTTGTCCCCTTGTCAGGGAGGCATTCACAGACCATCTTCCCTGGCGTGGCCTGCGCTGGGGCTGAAGCTGCTCAGTTAATTTAGCAGTAACATTTGTAGATTCCAGCAGGATGTGTAAACTTATCAGGTGTTTTATTAAAGGACTAAGGAGGCTTTTGAATGTATCAAAACCGTAACACTCTCTATGCTTCTGTTTTAGTAGCTTGTTTCATACACGTGCTCTGTGCACTATCTGGGTCTGTCTTCAGAGGGGCTTATTCCTCCTTGTGCTGGTGGCTTGTGTTATGTTCGTACCCACCTTGGGCAGGGTCCACCACCTCTCGGGATTCTGGCGTAATTCATTTGGAATCAGAGCCATCAAAAGAGAGGAGACTGTGCTGCTGGGCCTTAAGGCAGTGAGTCAACCCAATGGTGAGTCAACAAACTGATTCTGCCCTTCAGTAGTTTATATTCTGGTTGAACAAAACCGAGCACACACACACCTGTGTCAACTAGACTCACATACTTGTACACATTCCCGTCAATAAAGTTGTTTGGGGCCCTTTTTAGTTGGTTAATGGCAAATTAGCGAGGTGGAATTTTATTAGTGAGTATGTACCGTGTTGAGTCCTGGGCCAGGCCATTGACTTATGTTATCTCATTTAATTCTTCTCAGGGAGGCTGGTAGGGGTACTGCCCATTTTGTAGCTTGTTAAATGGAGTCTAGGTGGGATTGAGTCTTTGACTCAAGGTCACCCCCGAAAGGTAGAGCTGGATGCAGACTTCCCCTCCAGGCTTGTCTCTTAACAGAACCTGAACCGTGGGCCCTGTTCCAACCTCGGATCAATCCACAGGATGGGCTTAGGGTGGGGAGGATGCAAAAGAAAGGAAGAGACTGTGTCCATCCACGGGCTGGGGACAGTGCTGGGAGCTGGACATAGGTCCCCTCATCTCATTTGCACGGTGGATTTTGGTGTCATCCAGCCCTTTGACAAAGGTGAGCAGTAAGAGTCAGAGAGGTTAAGTCTCGAGGAAGGTCACCCAGGTAAGGCAGGATAACAGCCAGAATTCACACCCTACTTCCTCGTCCTCCACATCCAGAACTTTCCATCCTTCCACGCCTCCATTCTGGGTTTGCCACCCGTGTTTTAGGTTCCCCTCACTGTCATTCCTCTCTCCTCTCCCTCTTCCTGTCGTGCCTGAGGCGGCCACTGCTTCAACTGTTTATTTCAGGTGGCCACCAAGATGGGTAAGGCTGCTATCATGGGGCTGGGCTAAGAGAGTTTAAATGTGTCATCACTGTAAGTGGAGTGGGGGCAGAATGACACACCGAGAGCTTTAAATAACTCAGATTGGAGGTTTGTAAACCCTTTTGTGCTTTTCTCCCACCTTCCTCCCGGAAACTTATCCCCATCCCCCTGGTTAGGGATGTCATTACTTGTTTATATTTCAGATGGGATTATGAAGTGCGGCCTTTGGCATAAGGATTCTGCCCACTTGGATGGCCGTCCTCACCCCCTGGGTAGCTGTTCTGTTGCTGTCATTAGAGGAAAGTGAGGTAGAAGTATTCCAGGCCCTCGTGCTGGGCCTGCCTGTACAGTGCCCCCACTGTGACACCTTAACAGGCCGTTTCTTTTCTGGCCTCAGTTTCTCCTTTAAGGGAAGGAGTTGGAAAAGTTGTAAAGGGTCAGATAGTAAATGTTTTTGGCTTTACAGAACATAATGGTCTCTGTCACAACTACTTAATTCTGCTTTTGTATGGAGGAAGCAGCTATGGCCAATCCATTATCGGATGTGGCTGTGTTCCAATAAAACTTTATTTATAAATATAGGTAGTGGGCCACTTTTGTCCTGTGGGCCATAATTTGCCAACCCCTGGACTAGGTTATTCCTAAGGTTGGTTTCAAACTTGAAAATTCAATAATCTAGAAAGTGTGTTTAAACACACAGGGGCACCTGGGTGGCTCAGTCGGTTGGGCGTCCGCCTTCAGCTCAGGTCATGATCCTGGGGTCCTGGGATTGCCTTGTATCCGGCTCCCTGCTCATCAGGGAGTCTGCTTCTCCCTCTCCCTCTGCCCCTCCCCCTGTTTGTGCATGGTCTCTCTCTCTCTCAAATAAATAAATCTTCAAAAAAATAAACATATATAAGTGGAGTATATGGATAGATAGGTATCTATCCATAGACTGTAACCAAAACAAGATACTATCAATAGCAATGAGCATGATAAGTGAAACCGTCATAACTGTGGTAGAGTTAATTTCTGGACTGCAAGATGCAGGAAAAGTGAAGGGATTCTCTATTTGGAAAAAGGTGCTATTTATAAACCAGAATCTTCATCCTATGAGTAAGATCCAGGGATCTGTAGAGTATTTCCACCTCCTTATTACATGTGCTAGATCTAAATTAATGAAGACTCAGACTTTGTGAAGTTCAGATTTTACTACAAAGATTCTTTTGCTATGAGTTGATGTTTCTGACTTTGAGGGATGTGTGCTTTGTGCTAAGCTTTTTGATGCATTTTAAAATCTGATTCTCAAAGCTGTCAAGCAAGATAGGTGGAGTATCTGTCATGTAGATGACCAAACTGATGTGGAAGAAGGTCATGAGTTGTCCAAGATCACACAAGCGCATGCTGGGGAGAGCCCAGATAGTCGTTCATTTTGGTACCATCTAGCCTCTTTTCACCGTTTATAAAAACCCCATCTCCTACTTTACCACGAAGCAGCCCCTATACTCCGAGGGAGCAGGTTTTGTTCATTTGCCAAGAATGTTGATGTGCGGTAATTTATTTCACTGCGTCAGGTTTCCTAGTGGACGTTATCTGTGCTCACGATTTTCATATGTCCAGGAATGATGTACGCAGACCATTCCAGAAAGTGGCACGTGAATGATGCTCTCGATAGGCACGTACAGACCCAGACAATCGCTTGGAGGGTTCACCACCCTGCTCCCCACATAGCCGTCCAGAAGAGCCCAGCTTGGTAATTAAAAAGCACTGGGATCAAAGAAGCTCCATGTGCGTGGGTTCCTCCTTCTCCCCTTTCGGCCCCTCCTTCAAGTACCGGTTTCTTAAATTCTCACTTATAGGATTTTGGAGATCAAAAAGAGGCCTTTAAACTTAATGAATTCTCGGCTTCATCCCGGATGGAGCAG